GGGGTGGTCAGGCAGAAAGCCGTTCGTTTTGTTCCCGGACAATGTCAAGCCCTGGGATTGACCTGGAACCCTGTCACCTTTGGATTCCTTGTTATACAAGACAGGAAATGTCTCTTTTAATTTAAACCGCACGTAATTGAGATTTCTCACGCTCAACTCCAAGTGCTCCACCAGAGAATCTTCTGCAGTTCGAGAGCAACATGACAGCTCATTGCTGTAAGTTCGTCAGCGAGCCTGCATCGGCCATGCTGAGGTCTCACGTGTGGGCCCTCGGATGGCGACCCCGCCCCCAGACAGCTCTCCACGCAGCACCGAGGAGGCCTGCGCCGTTGTTGAGGCAATCTTTATTCTCATAACTGCGTTCAAGGTCTGGTTCAAAGTCTGGCTCCCCCGCAGGTGTAACGTGGGGTGAGGCCCACGATGGTCTATTTTGCAGCCCTGTCCCACTGCGGGCACCCCAGGCTGGGGTCTGGGCCCCCAGGGGCTCAGGCGGGGACTGCTGAGCCATCTCTCATTACTGCTTTGGGACCCTCCGGCCCTACTGTTTTTTGGAAACAATGTGTACCATTTGCAGCATGCATAATACAGAAAATCAAATACCTACACATTGTATTACTAGTAAACTGGTTAGGAATAGTAATAAATTGGTCTAAGAAGAGAATTTTCTTTTTTTCTTTTAGGTAGGTCCATGGACAGAACAGAGCATGAGACGAGATTTTATTTTTCTGGCTGAGTATTTTTTAAAAATGTGGAATGTACTGCAGAATCAAATAGCTGAGTCAGGTTACACACTTTACTATAAAAAATGTTGCAAATCTGATCTCCTCCGCTCCAGTCCAGAGCTCATAGAATACCCCTCCCCCTGTATCAGCCGAAACTCCTTCCAGAGCATTTGAGAGCCCACACCTGACTCGACTACCCAGTCCCGTCTCTGCAAAGCCCCCACTTGGAGCCTGCAGAGCACCTGTCCTCTTGCTTGGTGTTGAACATTTCCCTCCCCTGCTGGGTCTTCAGGATGGTGAGGACCACACAGAGTTTTTTCAATAAATAAACTTTTCCCTGATGCCAAAGCAGGACCCCCCCACCGCCCACACACACATTCCTAAAGCACTCTGAGGGACACTGCACAATTATGCTAAGAGCTCTCTTTCTCACGTGGCAGGAGAACCTTGTTTTTGGTTGTCTCAGATAATGGGAGCAAGAGGACGCAGAAATGTGGTCTCTGGAACATGAAAACACCTTGTCCGGGCCAGTGTTTTCAGGGCCCCTCCCGGCACCCAGTCCCCATCCAAACTGCCAAATAAGGAATAGGCCACTGTAGTGTTTTCTTGATACGCCTGTGGGGTTTTTCAAAGGCAGGCATTTTAAAAGGCTGAGGATGAGGGGAAGGACCTCAGCCAGCCTCAGATAGCACTGGGAAGCCCCCGATAACTGGCAAACAAGTATATGGATCTTAAATACCGTAAAAGCTGTGAAAATATTTGCCCCTTCCCCCCACCGTGGTTTGGGGTGCAGGCCCTGAGTGCCGAGGGCTGACTCCAGGTGAGCACTCAGGAGTGGCGTGACCTTGAGCAGGTTAGCCCCTGACCTTGAGGAGGTGAAGGGCTTCAAGCGGCAGGCTCCCGGGCCAGCTGGGAAAGGCAGCCCGTCACACTGTCTCGCAGGTACCGTGGGTGGGTGAGGAGAACGCCTTCCAGGGCTTGGCGCGGTGCCTGGCACATCATGAACACCCCACAAACGATAATGGTTAATATGACAAATAAGAATAAACAGCACGAGGGCAGAGCAGTAAAAAGCGAGTGCTTTTTAAAAGTGCGATAAAAAGGGCGCCTGGGTGGCTCAGTTGGTTAAGCGACTGCCTTCGGCTCAGGTCATGATCCTGGAGTCCCGGGATCGAGTCCCGCATCGGGCTCCCAGCTCCACGGGGAGCCTGCTTCTGCCTCTGACCCTCCCCCCTCTCATGTGCTCTCTCTCTCTCATTCTCTCTGTCTCAAATAAATAAATAAAATCTTTAATAAAAAAAAAAAGTGCGATAAAAAAAATAAGTAAATAAAATAAAAGTGCGATAAGGAATGGTCATTGAGCAGGGCCCCCAGAGAGGACAGACGGTCTCCCCTGCCCTCAAACGCTAGTCACCCCCTCCGGTAAAGCACCAAGGACGACCACAGCCACCGCCGGAGAGTGTTATCTATAAAGTATCTTCTCTTTATTTAAGTTAAACAATTTTCAAGGATGGTTTCCATCTATAAAATGGACAAAGTACAAGCTCTGTACAGCAGTTCTTTTTAAAAATCAACTGGAAAAAAATTACCAAACTATATTTTGAATTTGCAAAACATACTCACAGAGACCATCATTTTAGCTTTGATGAAGACATAAGAAAGACCACCACAGAGAGGACAACTAGCTTTGCCACGCTTTGCTCAAAGGGCTCTTAGGAAAGAATCTGTACTTGTAAAAACAGGAGTGAGAGGGTGGGATCGTCCCGATGACTAAGAGATAATGCAACCGCAGTAAGTCACTTTGGCACACTGTTGTCTTGTAAACATAGCTCACCTCCAGGGAACCCTCCCAGCCCCACTTCTGCTCACAACGCCCGCCCACGGGGTCCGAGGCCGCCAGCCGCGCCCCCAGCCCCAGCTCAGGGACGGGGAGCGACCCCAGAAGGGGCCGGGTGGGCCCGTCCCCATGGTACAAGCTCGATGAGAGTTCTGGGTGGGGCGGGGGTATGTGGGGGAAGGACTCATCAAGAGCCTGACTCGAATTTGTTTTACATCAAAGCCAAAGTTGTTTGCTAGCCATGGGGTAGTTTTTGCAAACACTGGCAGTGGCTCACAGGGGACAGGACCTTATGATGGGACCCAGGTGCTCGGGCTGAGTCCGGTTCCTCCTGCCCCACCTGCATTCAACAGCCTTGTACAGGTACCTGGCCCTCTCCCCGGGGCCTCCCTGTAGTCAAGACCGGCCTCTGAAGACACAGGTGTGCACAGGTAATCCAGCTGTGGCCTCCCTGTCCACTGAAGGTACATCTGGTTGCTGGGCAGAGGGCAAAAAGGAAGCCGCAGGACAGTCCCTGAGCCATGCCTCTACACCCGATCCCGGTGACCTAGAGCAAACACACGTGGGCCTTTTGCAGCGAAGGAAGAAAGACCAATAGCGTCCCCTTGCCTAGAAGAAACGGGCAGGGAACAGAGTGGCACTTCGCAGAATATTCTGGGGCCAATTCTCACTCTGTGACCCCCCGGGCCCTCCCCGAAGGGGCCTGAGGATGTGCATCTCTGATGCACGTCCCACTCCGCAGCAGCTGGGGGTGGCCTGGGGTGGCCAGCCTCTGTGAGACCGCATGTGTGCAGGAGGGCCACTCCGTAGGGGGCCGGGGACTGCCCTGTCACGGCATGCGGGGCCACTGCAAAGGCAAGGGGGGCTCTGCAGGGACATTCCTGGGCACCTCTTCCTGTCACGACTTAGTTCCTAACTGGCTTGTGGTTATACTGATCTCTGCTTCCTAACGCACACACCTCCTGTGTTGTGTCCAGAATCCTCCATGTCAGCTGATCAGGCATTGGATGGTTTCCGCCCCTCCCAACTCTTGACCCAATGCTCCATGACCCAAAGCAGACACCTGGGCCTGGGAGGGACGGTGTGGGCAGGCCAGATTCCAGAGCCCAGGGACCAGCTCACGGGACACTCACGGTTCGCCCAATGCCAGCCTAGGACAGCTTCCTACTGTCGCCTACTGGGAGCTGGGAGGCTGCTGGGTTTTTGTTTTTTCCCTAAGAGAAAAGAAATTTAATTCAAAAAGACCCAAAGTAATGTCTGTCAAAATAAGTAGCCCATCCAGGTTTCCAGATACCAAGGGCACAGAAGGTGGATGCCGACACTTAGCAGTGACTCCCAAGCTGAAGCCGACAGAGGTGCCCGGGCTGAGGCTGGCAGTCCGCAACCCACCCCCCCCCCCCGGGAACCCCTAGCCTCCTGGAGCCCAGCAACAGGGAAGCCCCCAGCGACAGGGAAGCCCTGAGCGACCCCGTAGCACCTGCTCACTGATGGGGTTCGGGGGGGCAACAGAGCCCGCCTTCCCCATCCCCCCAAGGGCCCCCTCCCTCTTCCTTCTGGCCGTGAACTAACTGTTGTGTGGGCAATTTACAAGATGAGGACAACCTACAGAAACCATAGGGAACTGACCGTACATTCTTTCTTTATATATATATTTATATTTAGTGTCCCACCATAGAAAAGTTCATATTCAAATAGAGCAAGGACGTCACGTGGAAGAGGGGGTCTGGGCTGGGAGGACAGCTGGGAACAGAGGAGCAGGGACAGGGGAATACAACGTAAACCTGCAAAATGACTCGGTTCGCTGTTGTGGAAACCAGACGTGATTTCGATGGGATCAAAAATGCAGATTTCAAAAGAGTTCTCCTCGGGGTGACGCAGCAACGGCCCCCCTTCCGCCCTCCCCGCCCCGCACTGGTCCGCGCTGGGGCGGCGCCTTGGCCGTCCTGGGGGGCGGGCGGCCGCGGCCTCGGAGGAGGGGCCTGGCCGCCTCCTGGGGGGCGAGGAGAGCGGTTCTCTTTCCGGGCCTCTTCGGTGTCCGCCCAGGCCCCGTGCCTCGCACAAGTTCTCCGACTTTCAGACCATGATGGAATACTGAGGTATATAGTTTCGCAGAAAGTTTAAGAAACGTAATCAAGAACGTGACCTCCAGACTCATCCGGCGTGGGGGCCGGGCTGCCGCGGCCCGGCGGGCTCCGCCTACTGCTGCAGGTTGAGCGTGAACTTCCACTGCTGAGACAGGGCGGGGCCGCACACCTCCACGCTCAGGCCCCCGTTCCTGGCGGCGCGGCTGTCCAGACACAGGTTGCTGCCCACGTGCCGCAGCTTGGAGTTGCCCTCGATCTGTTCCCACTTCTGCAGGAGACAGGAGAGTGCCTTACGATCACGGCACACACAAAACCGCACGGTACACATCCATTTGCGGGGTCTCCTAGCTACACTAAAAACAAAAAAAACCAAGCCTTTTTTTTTTTTTTGGTGGTGGTGGCCGGGGTTTTGGGG